ATCTGCTATGTACAATTTGTCAGTAGGTTGTAGGAGTAATATAGTTCCCTATGGTTTTCAAAACTAGCTAGTCATTGTTTATCTCTCACATTGTCTCACCCTATTTAATGTTTCTTTAATATAATGACTTGAATTGACTTAGATTGGTTTTGCATAACATATATTTTTCCCCCTTTTGTTCATATTCTGCTTTGTTACATTATGCATATGTTTTTCAGAAAGCATAGAGAGGACTGAAAAATGACCCAGTCAGTAATTTACGTGCTGTGGAAATATAAAGTCCTCAGTTCAAATCTTCATATCCCATGTAAAACTGGTGTTATGGCTGTGCGTGGTGGCACACGTGTTTAATCCCAGCACTCAGGAGGCAGAGGCAGGCAGATCTCCAGTAGTTCAAGACCAGCCTTGTCTACATAGTGAGTTCTGGGACAGCTGGGCTACAGAGAGACCCTGTCTCAAAAAAAACAACAACAAAAAAAAAACCACAAAAAACAAAACCTAGTGTTATCTGTAATCATAGTGATCCTACAGGTAGAGACAGAAGAATTGCTGAAAGCTTGTAGGCAAGCTGGCCTGGTGTAAACAGCAGCAAAAAGACAGAAATCCTATCTCAAATACGGTGGAAGGTGAGGACCAACACCCAGTGTTGTCCTCTGAACGTCTCACACACACACACACACACACACACACACACACACACGCATAGAATGTCACATGTAAATTTCCAGTCACACAAATGCAAATGTAAACATACATACATATCACACACACACATACACCAACATCATACATACACAAACATGCACACACACACACACACATTATTCTTTCTTATCCAAATCTGTTTCTCTCTCTCTCTCTCTCTCTCTCTCTCTCTCTCTCTCTCTCTTGCTCTTGCCTTCACTATCTCTCAAAGTATTTAGATCTTTTACACTTAATGAATTACCTGATATAGGTGAATTTAAATCTAACCACTTGATATTTGCTTTCTCTTTGCCAATTAGTTTCTGTTGTCTTTACATTATTTTCCACCTATTAAGAACCACATTTGTCTTCTTTGTCTTCTAGCAGTTACAATCCCGTTTTGTGTGACCATGTGGTTATTTTAGTACAATGTTTTTCCATTTGTGTCTTGGGGTCCTAGAGACACTTTAGAGCACATTTAACATCAAAGTGTTTCAAAAATAATGCTAAAATGTTATTTGACTTTTTGCTACTTATTATTTTGCTAGTATATTGTCAAGATATCATTGCCCGAGTATCTCATAGAATATATACTTTTATATTGCTTTCTCTCAAAATGTTATGCTTGGTTTCTGATATAGGAACTATTGATACATAATCATATGAACAAAAGCTTGAAAGGGATACTCTACATCATTTAAGGTCAATCAGAATTCTAAGAGCAAAACCGTGTGAGCCACTGTTCTATGATTTGAAATATAGATTTTAATTTATGAAAGTTTAATTTCAAATAGAATCACCATATTTTATGTAAGACCCCTAACTCATTTTCTATCTTGTGCTATGCACTTTGAATAAGTAACTGATGTGCATTACAAATCCTGCAATACCTTCACATAGCTTTAATGATAAATTAGTCTTAAGTAAGATTGAGAGATTAGAAAATTATATATGTATATATATATATATATTTACATATATAAGCCTTTAATCAAACTTTGGCAACAATTCAAAAAGTTTTAATTATGCTTACTAGACTAGCATCTGTAAGCAAGATTGATTTTAAAACTCTGCTTAGTCATCCTGAGGTTTTC